TTGACTCAGGAGAACTGGTTAATTACAGAACTCACATCTGCCAAAATATTTTCCTCTCAGCTATGATTTTAGGAGAGAAACTGTATTTGTGAACTATTTCAATCAGGATTTAATCTCCATTGTAGTACAGAAACTGTGCATATAAAAGCTACTAATTAACGTTTTTTGGCATATATTCATGGCTACATGCATTTCTTTAGGTGCTATTAGACATTATGACAAAATATATCATAACATTCTCTTGGACAGTTTGAAAAATCGTTTGGTATTTCTGGACAAGAATTAGCATGGTTTAATGCCATGGTTAACATCGCGTATATCTGACCGCCACCACTTTGCTTGTGTAAATCAAGACGCATCTCATCAAACACAAGTATGGAGTGCCACATGGATCAGTATAAAGTCCTCTTCTTTTTATGCTTGTATGTTTCCCCTGATAGACAGTGAGTCCCATTCGATAATCAAGAGTATGCACAAATTTTTGTGTGAAATCAGCATGTTTTCACAAACAAATAATCATTGACCAAAATCTGTTATACAACAATTTCTTTTAAATGTACGAAAAAAAATGTAGAAACAACAAACTACATCTACACAAAAAACACTTACTTTGGGAGGCTTTATAATTGTAATAAATAACAAATTATATTTCTCTCAGGCATCTCTTAGCCTAGAACATGTCTTTAGAGAGAATTATATGTTTGCTAAGAGTTACGAAAGACTAAAGGAAAAATTATGCGGAAAGCTCACATATTAATATGGTTTAGGCATGTTTTAGACCAGGGGTTCTCAACTCTGGCCCTTGAGGTCAACTTTCCTGCAGAGTTTAGCTCCAACCTTGATCAAGCTCACCTGCTTGTAACCTTCTAGTGATCCTGAAGACCTTGATTAGCTTGTTCAGGTGTGGTTGAGTAGGGTTGGTCCTAAACTCTGCAGGAAAGTGGACCTCGAGGGCCAGAGATGACGACATCTGGTCTATAAGAACTACAATCAAGGGCATCCTTATCTGACTTCAAAAGAACTGTGATGTGGGCCTGTGACAGACTCAATGGTAGTATCGATTGTTCAAAAGAATGATTGAACATACCAAGAAGTAGAGGAGACAGTTTTGAGGAGACTTTTTTATAGAACTTGACGGGAAAACTATCCGGTCCCGGGGTTTTACCACTGTGCATGGCTTTAATTGAATCCTCGATCTCTTGAAGTTGTAGAGGTTTATCTAATTTACTTAGTTGATTTACTTTTTAACTGTTGTGCGAGAAGGCAACTTGCCTTCTCACCATGTTCGTAAAACCTGGCACGGGCAAAAACTAGATCACGTTCTGTTTTTCTGTCGATACTAAATCATATTTTGTCTTAAGGCTTAGTTTTTCTTTATACAATTATGCCGTTGGGGCCATAGCATACTGATGGTCAATTGTCTGTATAGATTTAATAAGTTTCTCTTGTGTTTGTTTTCGTTCTTTATTACGTGAGGCAGAATACGATATTATTTCTCCTCTTAGTACCGCCTTAAGCGTCTCCCACCATAATAGTGATGGTGATATATCGGTTTTATTTGTTAGTAAAAAATTATCAATAGTGCTAGATATGAACTGACAGAAATTTGCGTCTTGAAAGTAAGGTTGTGTTTAACCTCCATACTGGGCGCGTTGGATAGCTATATGAAAAACAAATATCAAGAATTACGGGTGCATGGTCTGATTCGCCAATAGCAGAGTATTCTATGTTTTTTATTGCAGTGATAAGACTTTTATCAGTAAAGAACTAATCTATCCTTGATTAAGTCTGGTGGACATGTGAAAGGCAAGAAAACATTTTTTTTATCAGGAAATAAAAACCTCCAAGGATCCACACAGGTACAGTTCTACGGTTGGAACGGTCTATAGCTGTATCCATCACACAGTTCAAATCTCCACCCAGAATAAGGTGGTGAGTGTTTAAATCCGGTAACAAAGAAAATAATTTTTTCACAAAGTTAACATCATCCCAGTTGGGTGCGTAGACACTGACCAGAACTACTGGTGTATTAAAAAGATAACCAGATACGATAATATACCACCCTAGTGGATCAGAAATAGTTCCAGATACAGTAAATAAAACTTTAATGAATTATTATGGCTGCACCCATAGCCCTATGATTAAAACTGGAGTGGTATACCTGGTCAACCCAAGTCAGTTATGATCTTCAATACGTAGATATGTTTCCTGTAGAAAGGCTATTTTTCTGTTTTTAGTTTTTTCATATATGTAAATATGTGGGTTCTTTTCAATGGTTCGTTTAAACCTCTAACATTCTAGCTAACAAAGTGTATTGCTGATCCTTTGGTATTTTTTACTCTGTTATCTGTATGTGCCATTATATATCAATAGTTGTCTATGTGCCCGACTACCGTATCCACAAAAAAATGCATCCTCTGTCTGTGACTGAAAAAAGGGGGAGGATAAAACCCCACCCACCCAACAAATGGTAAACCTTGACAAACATCCAAAACTATAATACATCCTAGATTTGTCCATTGAACAGACAAACCGAAGTTCACAACAAACTCTCAGCTCCCGATAATCCAAGTCTATGTACGTTTCAATTCTTCTTCTCAGAGCTCCCGACGTAATGTAAACAAAACTAAGCAATGCAAAATTAAGCATACAAATAAACGTATAAGCAGAAATAAAGCACTATAGGCAGGTACAGAATAACATAACTACAAAACGCAAACCATTAATTCTTGATCAACCAACAGTGGAGTTGTTCGACCTCAATGCGATTGAATGGTCTGTAAATTAGTTCCACTAATTACACTTTTTTTTTTTTAAAGTTGAGTTGCTTGTTATATTTAAAAATAAATAGCAATTAAATTTAAGTTTGGGTTCTGTTGTTAACGGTAACCTTATAGGCTAGTAGGCCTAATGTAAAAGGGCTCATTAGAGCATAAGCTGACGTAGATTTTTATCCCTAAGAAAATTTGAATTATAACTGAATTTATTTAAAGAAAGAGCAATTTGTTCAGTAAACCACTGTTTAATTAAAAATAAATAAAAAAAATTGTATGTTTAGTTTTTCCCCCTGCTGCACCGAAATGTGACATCAAAACCGAGGTACGCACCGAACCGTCATGTTTGTTTTTCAGTTACACCCCTAGTGAAAAACCTATGCAAAATCCGATCCAAGTGCTCAGACTGAAAGGAATTTCCAGAAATAGGATTTCAAACCACATACAAACGTACCACTGATTTGTAACAATAGGATTTAATGTGATTTTTTGCTGTTCAGTCTTACTAAATATGATCGGACTCCAATCGGATATGCAGAAAAATCGGATCTGACAAGGCTTTTGTAGCCAGACAACAAACGAGTGACTGATCCGAAGTGGCAACGTCACTACACGCATTCTGCCGGAACCGTTCCTTATCGTTCTTAGAGCTGTTCGGCCTACGGTGGAAAAGCGGCTATATATAAGCTAGTCTCAGTATCCCCTGTTAAATCTATTGAGAGTTTGTTCCTCACATTTATGTTGTGTCTTAATGTGAAGAAGATCCCACACGTGTGCTGCTACATGAATTCAGGAGAAGAAACTCTCATCCTAGATCAACTTCTGATCATACATTTACAACGGAGCATAACAGAAGGTGTGAAAATCACAACAGATGTTTTTTTTTTAGTTCACTACTTAGGTCTTTGATATCAACGGTTTGTGTCGTTCATAAACATGAACAGTTTGATTTTATTATGCTGCAGTTCATTATAAAGTAACTGGTCACTGACTGTATTATTTGCTCACCAAAGATCTTCAAATGAAGAACAAAGATAAACAGTAACTACCAAGCTGTGTCAGCTGGAGAAATGTTTTATTATTTTATAGGTGGTATTTCTGACATTATGACTTATTTATTGCTTGCTGTAATGAACATTTACTGCTATTTACATTCAGGTATGTATGTGTTAGTATGGCACTTTTGGGGACGAGTTGAAAAAAATTACAAATAAAACAAATGTCAAGTTAAAACTGAATTGTCATTGTTTGCTTCATGCAAAATATTTTTTTTTGTCAGATACCGTTTTCGTTGTTTTCTAATCAAAAGTAGATAATGGATTTAATGTTACTCAAAATAATTGTTTTGTTTAGGCTACTTCTGTATTATTTTCATATCTCTATTTCTGTAGAGCTGGACTTTAAAATGAGTGAGATCATCTTTGAAAATGAAAACCAACCTGTTTGTTCCTCAGCATCTTCTTGTTTGACTCTGAATGTTTCTTCAATCTTCACGTCTTCACTCTCCTCTTTAATAAACGCCATCTTTATAATAGTGTGTCACGTGGATCTCAGTTGCTTCAGCAGGAGTTTTTCTGTGTTTGGACACTTTGTCCTGTTTAAGATGAGAATAATTCACAGAAAGACAAATAAATCCAAACTAAATCTCTCGGTGCGTCTCAATCAGCTCCCTATAGTTCAGTAGCCAGCACACTGGTAAAGGAGTCAGTCAGAGTGAGAATTTAAAAAAAAACCTAGCATTCAAATTATTAAAAGGACACAAATTATATACAAGGTTTACATTTGTATTAAAATTTATATTTGGTATTTACTGACTCGTAGGTTATATTTAATAGATTCCACTTTCATGAAAACATTGGCAGCTGGTTTGTAAAAGTTTTCATTACACAAGTTTGTTTGTTGTTTTGAGCAGGTGACAGTCAAATGTGCGCTGATTCGAGCGATTCGATTCACTGAATCATTTTGCGAGG